ATATATATATATATATATATATATATATATGAAAAATTTATGTGGGTACTCAAATGAAAGGTCTTGAAGAGTATAACATCAGAATGAGCTTATATCTTTAAAAATGTCAATCGTTGACAAGATACAAGGTCATTTCTTAATTATTGATATTTTTTAAGATATAAGCTCATCCCGATGTTATATTCATCGAGACCTTTCATTTGAGTACCCACATGACATTTTTTATATATTTTATATATATAGTATTTGTGAAATATATAAATATAATAAATATATGAAAAATTGATGTGGGTACTCAAATGGAAGGTCTCGATGAGTGTAATGTCAGGATGAGCTTATATCTTTCAAAATGTCAATAGTTGACAAGTTACAAAGTCATTTCTTAATTATTACTAAATTTCACTAAAAAAAACCCGATTTTATCATATGACTATCCTAGACACAAAATTTTTCTTATTATAATTATTATTATTTTAAAATTTTTAGATAAGACGCCTTTTTTTGTAGAAAATTAAATTTTCTATAAAAAAAGTTTCTAATTTTTTTTATTTTTGATATTTTAGATAAAATAATTGATTTTGATAAAAAAATAAAAATAAATACTTTCTATTATAATTAATATTTTTTTTATTTTATGTATAGTAGTACTTGTATAAATACCAAGAGCTAAATTAAATTAATATTAGATTACAATATTAAAATTAATACAATAAAATTTATAATTGAACAGAATTGCAAAGCATACGCTAAAAAATCAATCCAATACATCCCAACGCTAGGCTGGGCATGGAAATTTGCAGAAAGTGTATTTTTAGAACGAAGTTGGGATAAAGATAAAGAAACAATTGGCCAGCAAATTAGTGAGCTGGGTGACTACCCTGATACAATGTGGGTAAGTGGTGGTTGTTAAACTAAATCTGATCCAATTCAATCCAATAGAACGGTTTAAAAATTCTTGGCCTCTACAAGAAAGACGTTGACCTTAGATGCTTAACGAATCGAATAATGACTGGTATTTTTATCATTACAGTTATTGCTGTATGCAGAAGGTACCCGGTTCACCGCTGAGAAACTAGAGCTCAGCCAGAAGTTCGCTAAAGAAAAAGGCCTGCCGATTTTAAAGCACCATTTAACGCCACGCACAAAAGGCTTCACCGCAAGTATTCCTCATTTAAGAGGCAAGGTTGATGCCCTCTACGACATTCAATTAGCATTCAACCCGAAAGCCGCTATTAAACCTACTATGACTAATTTACTGCGCGGCGAAAAGGTTGAAGCGCACATGTACATCAAAAGAATACCTATCAAAGATATTCCTGATGATGAACAGGCCGCTGCTGCATGGCTGCACAAGAAATATGAAGAAAAAGTATTTTTTTTTAATTACTATTTTGGTTTAACTTCCCGCTAAAAAAATTGAAAATTTTCAAAAGTTGGCAAGTTACTCATAAAAAAAATGTTCTTGTAAAAATGTCAATAATTAAGAAATGACTTTCTATCTTGTCAACTATTGACATTTTTAAAGATATAAGCTCATCCTGACATTACACTCATCAAGAGCTTTCATTTGAGTACCCACATGCATTTTGATATATTTTTCATATATACATATATATAAATATATAAAAAATTGATGTGGGTACTCAAATGAAAGGTCTTGATGAGTGTAACATCAGGATGAGCTTATATCTTTAAAAACGTCAATAATTAAGAAATGGCAGTGCAATTTAACAAAAAATTGCTAGTTTGGAATTTTTTTTTTAAATATGGACATTAAAAAAAGATATAAGCTAACAATCAAAAGTTTTTTTTTTTAGATTTTATCAAAAATTCAAATTAAAAAAAAAATTTATTTCAGTATAAAAAATTTTTTATTTGAATTTTGTACTTTTAAATTATTATAACATCGATTTAAATATAAATTTGCATATATTGATCCTACACATTTATAGTATCCAAATAATTTACACCTGACTAATACTAATCAAAAATGATTATCTTTATTGTCAATGCATAATATATAAAAAATAATAAAATAATAAATGAGGTCAATTATGTTACACTCATCAAGAGCTTTCATTTGAGTACCCACATGCATTTTGATATATTTTTCATATATACATATATATAATATATATGAATATATAAAAAATTGATGTGGGTACTCAAATGAAAGGTCTTGATGAGTGTAACATCAGGATGAGCTTATATCTTTAAAAATATCAATAATTAAGAAATTACCTTGTACCTTGTGAACTATTGACATATAAATATATATATATATTTTTTTTAAGGACCGATTAGCTGAAAGTTTTATTGAGACTGGTGATTTCTTCGCAACAAGTGGCGTACCTAAAACTGATAAATTCAAATTAGAGAGACGATATTATTCATTATTAAATACTATTTTTTGGGCACTTATTGTATTAGTACCAATGCTTTATTATCTTGTTAAATTATTTATCTCTGGGTCAACAATTGCTTTTACATTTGGCGTTGGAATTATTGTTTTATGTAAGTATTTTTGAAAATTAATTAACTAAAAAATATAATATGTCTTAAAAGTTTAGAAAAAAAATTTTATTTTATTTTATTTAAATAAAATAATAATTTTATTTTACAGTTTTCTTACTAATGTACAAAACAATTGGAATGTCTGAAATAAGCAAAAGTTCATCTTACGGAGCCGCGACGTCTAAGAAAACAAATTGAAGCCAATTATAATAATTAAAAAAAAATACCTAAGTATTAACAAACACACACAAAACTAATTATAAATGAACTAAAGAATTTGAAGAGAGAATTAATAACAAAGCTAATTAACTGAGTTAACTATAAATAATCTCAAATATATTTCTGTATAGAATATATACTAAAGTAAATGAATTTTAGATAAAGAAAAATTAGTTAAATAAAAATATAGCTATATAATTAAATGTCACAAATGTAAAAATATTAATTTTTAATTTTTTTTTTCATCGCAATCATGTATACGCATATTTGATATTTTAAATATTTGTATAAAAATTAAGCGCATCACCATCTCACCTTTTTTTGTAATTACTATTTTTTTTTGTTATTCGTTTAAATAAAACAATTTACAAATCACTTAACGGTAATATAGCACATGTTTACAATATTCTTTAAATAATTATAATTGAAATATTCTTTAAATTATAAGTTAATAAAATTTGTGAGTTGTGAGTTGTGATAAATATTTGTTTTTTAAAATAAATAACTATCGAGTTTTTGAAATTAATCAACAGTATCGTTGTTTTTATTATGTATTAATTGTTGTTGGTAACCTGTTGATGCATCTGAATTGTAATGAATTTTACGGAGTTTACCCATAGGATCGTAATAACCATAGTATCCAGTAACTGTACCGTTTCCATGTTTTTCTTCCAGTCGAAATTGCCGATTTTTTCTGTTTAAAAAATTAGACATTAATTTTCAAAAATATAAAACAATAATTAAGAAATGACCTTGTATCTTGTGAACTATTGACATTTTTAAAGATATAAGCTCATCCCGACATTACACTCATCAAGACCTTTCATTTGAGTACCCACATGACATTTTTTATATATTTTTATATATATATATATAAAATATATAAATGTTGTGATATATATAAATATATAAAATATATGAAAAATTGATGTGGGTACTCAAATGAAAGGTCTTGATGAGGGTAACATCAGAATGAGCTTATATCTTCAAAAATGTAAATATTTAAGAAAGTACAAATGTAAATAATTAAAAAATGACCTTGTATCTTGTGAACTATTGACATTTTCAAAGATATAAGCTCACCCTGATATTACACTCATCGAGACCTTTCATTTGAGCACCCACATCAATTTTTTATATATTTCATATATTTATGTATATATATATGAATATATGAAAAATATATCAAAATGCATGTGGGTACTCAAATGAAAGCTTTTGATGAGTGTAACATCAGGATGAGCTTATATCATTAAAAACGTCAATAGTTAAGAAAATACAGTGTAATTTAACAAAAATCATTATTTAATAAAGTAAAATTTTATTTATTTATAGTTCACAAGTCACGGCAAATGTCGAATTTTTTTGTCTAAAAATTTCACTATCATCTTCTGGCTTTTATAAAAATTTTTTTCAAGTTTAAAATAGGCTTGAAAATAAATTATCAAAAAAATTTCATTAAAATAAAAAAATAATTTTACCCTTTTCCCGTATCAAAGCCAAAAATATAAGAATCCGGTCCCTGATGCCCATGAACATGAAAATCAACTCTATCTTCATCAGACCCTTTCAACTTTTCTTCTATATAATTATCACTATCATCATACTCAGCAGTATCATCTTTAACCTCTTCAATTGTCTGCTGAGCTGGATCATGATCTCTGATATATTCTTCTTCTTTTGAATTATCTTCACTGAAATTCTCTTTAGGAGAATCTCTGGGTTTTTGAGGCCTTTTCTGTTTGGTAGACTTAAAACCTCTATTCCGATTTTTCTTTATTTGCGGCGGCCTGAGAAAAACCGCGGGGATTCCCGGTCTGCGCTTCCTCAAAAATCCATAAGGTTTTCCAGCCAATCGGTAGAGAGGGCGCGAAGAATAAGGAACCGCGTACGGATACGAACGATGCTCGATATTATTTTTGGGGTGTTCGTTTATGAACAGAGGAAATTTTTGATAGTTTTTCACTCGAGTTGTTGGTTTGTGACTTTGAACTTGTAATTTCCAGCTCGCTTGAACCTCCAGAACAATTATCGCACTTATTATCCACTTTACAATTACAAACATAGAAAAAAAAATTAATACTTTTGATTTATTAAATTGAAACTAATAAATATTTTTTTAAAATTGCACTTCAAGTTTTTTACAAATTAAAATTATTTTTTCAATAAAAAAAATTTTTATTATTAATAATAATAATAATAAAAGGGTAAAATACTTACAGTAGGCTTGACAAACATATCGCTACCTCAAGATGATATCAAATAAATAGACAATTGATCTAAAGTTCCGGTCCAGTAAATAAACTTTCTATAAATCCCACTTGTTCCTTGATTTTATAAATATATACATAAATAATTAAATTATTAGGCTATTGAGATTTTTTTGTCTCACGAACGTGTTTGGTCTACATTTTTCGGTTCACTGAACTCGCTTAAAAAATTTATCTATTTTCTTTTTTAAGTATTTCAATTAAATTTATTGTATTGAAAAATTTTTATTTTATTTTTTATAAATTATATCATTTTTTAATTATCAAATTAAAAATAAAAAATAATATTAAAAAAATTAAATAATAAATAATAAAAATTTTAATTATGTAAAATATAAAATAAAGTTCATCCGGTTTTTTTATTGCATCAAATACAATTCAATAATAAAACCTGTCAGTCAAAATGATCCTAATTTTGACATTGATAGACAATAATAATTATTTCCTCCATACTACAGCTTATAAATAAAGCCACAATGAATAAAAAAATTATTTGTGCAAAATGAAGACAACCTGTTTGATTATATTTATGTTATTCTTAACTTTATATCAAACTCAAGTAAGTAAATTAATTCATCGATACTTAATTACTTAACTAATTAATATTTATGTAATAAAAAATTTTCAAGGCTCTAAGATGCCGATCAGGAAACCAAAAACTGAGCGACGACATTCGAAAAGTGATGCAAAAATGCAAACGTCGATCTAATTCCAATAAATCCGATGACTCTAACGATTCAAGCAGTGACCATTCTGACGGAGATTCTTCATCCGACAGCGATATCTTCGATGAAGATTTTTTTAACTCCAGGAGAGACGACAGCTACTCGAAGACTCGGATGATTAGATCCAGACACCAAGAGTACAAGCAAGAAGAAGTCAGGCCTTATTACATGAAAAATCATACCCACAAACAAGACAGGATGTCTGATGACAATTATTACAGTAGCAATAACAATAACAATAATAATAACAATCACAATAAAAACAGAGACAAAGATTCAAGAGACGGTTTCTCTGATAAAAACAAAAATCAAGATGAACAATCCGTAACTAATTTAGTTTTTACCCATCTATAAAAAACTATTTCGCAATTAAATTGATTAACAATTATCAATTTAATTTGTTTTTTAGTGTGTGACTCAATGCTTCTTCGATGAACTAAAGCTGACCAACAGACAAGGATTTCCAGATCGTACTTCGGTGATAAATATGATGCTCCAGGGAATTCATGACCCCATGATACGAGATTTTATCGAGCAGTCTATTATCAACTGCTTTCATTTTGTCTATGGTTTGCATTTGGATAAATGCACATTTTCACATAATTTGTTGTCTTGTTTTGCTGATAAAGCCCGAGAGGTAGTATTTATTTTTATATTTTTTTATCTGAAAAAAATGACATTTAACTAAATTAGCAGACATGAAAAGTTTTTAATTTTTTAATAATAATAAATCAAGCCTAGAAAATTATTTTTAAAAAATTGCTTTTATAATTTTTTAGAGCTTCTAAATATGGAATTTTTTAAATAAATTTTTCTTACTATAATTAAATTAAATAATAATTAATTTTTTTTTAGCGATGCGAGGATTGGGACGATTGAATAAAATTTTCATGACAATTCACAAAAGAAGAAATATTTCTTCATCTACCTAGAAAGTAATTAAAATAATGAACTTTAATTGATAGTAATTTTTAATTTGACTACAACTATACAAACTATAACAAAATTATGTAATGGAAGCTAAATATATAGATATATATTTAATAAAAAGTAGTCAAGATAATTAATAGCTTTGCTTATAATTATGTCTGTACACTTCCTATATACATTTTTGTTTAATAGCAGATAATTAGCCCGTGTTTTTAATTTTAAAAAATATTATTAATAAAAAGGCACTAACATAAAAGCAAAAAAAAAACAAGTGTTACAATACTCGAATACGTATGTAATCTGAAGTTAATATTCGATAAAAAATAGTTTATGATGAGTTTGATTTTTTTTTTTTTTTTTTTTTTCGGTGGAATTACTTTCGCTTTTTTAAGTCCTCGAAGCGCTTCATCAGATCATCGAAATCGATGTCATCATTGTTCCCACCAGCTCCGTCTGGTGATGTGCTGTCAGTGGGAACTGTCGGAAGTTCAGGCATCTGAAAATCGTTGGGCATTTTTGATCGCGGTTGAGGCTTTGGGGTGTTGTCTGATTGTTTGTTCAAGTCTGGTGGGAATGAACAGTATGGAGGTGGTAAATCATCTTCCTAAAAATGTCAATAATTAAGAAGTGACCTTGTATCTTGTGATCTATTCACATTTTTAAAAATATAGGCTCATTCCGAAGTTACACTCATCAAGACCTTTCATTTGAGTACCCACACCAATTTTTCATATATTTATATATTTATATATATTATATATATATGTATATATGAAAAATATATAAAAATGCATGTGGGTACTCAAATGAAAGCTCTTGATGAGTGTAACATCCGGATGAGCTTATATCTTTAAAAAGGTTAATAGTTTCAGATCTTTTGTTTAATATTTAAATCGATTTGTAAGTGAATTTGAAATTTATGAGGAGTATGTACCATACATTTAAAAAACCAATTAGAGAATGTGTATTATTATTATTATTATTATTCAATTGAATGATGTGAAGCAAAAAATGAATATTAAATTTTTTGTTTGTAAAAGTAGCGTAGTTATAATTTACATGGAGTATTCAGGTAAATTTACATACTATGTAAGCGGCACAAAAGCGTAATATATTTTCCATGAATGTAAAGATAAAAAATAATTAAAATAAAAAATGTAACAATAATCATAATAATAATAATAATAACAGAGAGTATTGCGAATTGTCTGTTAAAGCACAGAGTTATATTATATTTACATATAATTTGGTTGAAATTTAAAGTTGCATATCATTATTCTGGTTCTATTAAAACAGTTATTTATTTCTTTCAGTACAATTATTTAAAGATGTATCCTTTCTATTAAATAACACAATAATAATAATATTTTTTTCTTTAATCAATAATTTAGGAGTTGGTAATTTTTATAGTAACTAGTTAATGATTTCGTATTTAATTCAAAAATTTTAATAATAATAATAATAAAATATTTTTATGAGATATTAGAATATATTTACTCAATATTGAATATTTATTAAAATTTTAATTAAACAAAAAGATAAAGAGAACATAAAATGTAAGAATAAACTGCGCAGCTCGTTTTAATGTAAGCAAAATTCAAAATTTATGAACTCTAAAGAACAAAAAGTAAAAAAAAAAAATATAAACTAGCATAAAAATAAATTTAAATTGTAAATTGACAATAAACAACCGCAGAGACATCAACAAAGCTTAGAGAGGAGGAAGTGAGGTTTCGTGGTTACGATGGACGATTAGGCGCAGAGAATGTCACTGGCAAGGGTTAGGAACTGCCGGTGAAGGTGGTTACTATTTCTCGGGCTCGAGATAAAGTGAAAGCAATTGAGAAGTAGAGAGTGCGAGGGAGACAGCCAGCGGGCGGCGGGTGGAGGCTGACTGAGAGAAATAGGATGAAATAAAGCGAAAGCATCGAATGTGCTGGGTAGAGGCTAGACCTGTAGACTGTAGAGTGTAGAATACAGACAGTACGGGTTGCTTTAGACTGAGACTGACATTAAACCGTGATAGAGACAATGTCCATGGGAAATCTAATAATTACGGCCCTTTGTATGTTGTGGCTAGATAATATAATCAATTGCTATCTAACACAACGGGAAGCTTCATTGAGATGTTCCAAATAATTAAGTTAACGTCAACAATGTAATTTTAATTCAATTGAGTTTTTTTTAATTTATTTTAATATTTTTTTGTTCCAATTATTTATTATTATTATTTAAAAAGATCATTTTTGATCTAAATATCAAGTCATTATCTAGTTACTGTAAAAATCGCTACAACTCCTGAAATATTAATTTTATCAAAAAATCATAAAACCAAAATTGTAGCTTAGAAAATTTCCTACAAAAAATGTGTTTACTCTATAGGGCTATTTTCGATATTTATAAATATAATATAAATAATTTATGCATAAATAAAATTTGGCTTCATTAAATAATGCCTTTTGTTAAATTGCACTGTACTTTTTTAAATATTGACGTTTTTAATAATATATCAAGAGCTTTCATTTGAGTACCCACATATTTGATATATTTTATATATTTATATATATTATATATATGTATATATGAAAAATATATAAAAATGCATGTGGGTACTCAAATGAAAGCTCTTGATAAGTATAACATCGAGATGAGCTTATATCTTAGAAAATGTCAGTATTTAAGAAAGTACAGTGCAACTTAACAGGTCATTATTTAATATAGCAAAATTTTATTTATTTAATATAGCAAAATTTTATTTATTTATGGTTTATTAGTAACGGCAGTCATATAGTGACTGCAAGGTTGCTATTATATATTAATAAAAAAAAATTGCAGCCTGATTAATTTCAAGTTTAAAATCAATCAAATAAATAAACAAAAAATAACTTACTGGTTTATTGCTATTAGCATTATCCAACGGAATATTATAAGACAATGCTGAAGGATTGAACGGAACATTTTGATCCTTTTCTGGCATCAAAGGAGCTCCAGGAGATACAAAACCCATCGCTGGTCCGGTATTTTTCTCTCCAGAGCCCTAACATGAAAAAATTCATAAAAATTACTATAAAAATACGATAGAACATTAAAATAATAAATAATAATTACAAAAGCGTTGATATTCGAAGGAGCACCAGGTAGCAGTGGAGCCTGTGGGAATCCAATGAAACCCATAGGCTGAGGTCCTCCACCGGCTACGTCTAGATTGTTAGACCCATCAGCATTGACGTCTATCAGCACAGCATCTTGTCCCTCAGCCATCACTTGAGGATCTGGTTCATACTCGATGTTATAATTCTTGGCGATTTCGATCAGATATTTCTCCACCAGCAGCTTTGACGGCGACTGGATGCTCATCTTGTGTTTGAGTTTCTCGGAAATGGAAGGGACCTGTTCGTCTCTGCATGCTTCCATGTACTGTCGTCCATACTTGGAGGTCAATATGTCTGCAATTACTTTCATTTCTTGGACGTCCGTCTGCATCCGTGGTGCTGCCCAGAGAATTGTTGATATTGCTTCTGCTAAGCCGTCATCTAGATTTCTGATTATCAATATTATTAATTAATTAATTAAAAATTTATTATTATTATTATTATTATTATTATTATTATAGTGCAATTAAAGCATTTGTCAATTATTTGGATTTTTATAATAAATAAATTATTATAAAAAAATTTTAGATAGAAATTTTAAAAAAATTACAAGTGCAATTTTTTAAAAATAATATTTCAAAACTAATTTGTTTGTTAAAAAAACAAAATTAAAAAATGGTCAAGACTGTTAATTTTAATGAAAATAAATTTAGAAGATATTTAATCATCTTTATAATTTTTTTTAACAAATAAATTATGGCAAAAAAAATTGACATAGAAATTTAAAAAAATAAAAAATGCAATTTTTTTAAAATAATTTTTTGGAACAAAATTGTTTGTTAAAAAAAAATTATTTAGTGACTAATTTTAATGTCATTAATTTAATTTTTCTAAAATTTAAAAAAATTCCAAAATAATAATTATTTACTTCATTTGTTGGATGAGTCCAAATCGAGCTAGCAGCAAGTCGCAGTACATCTCCAGGAGTTCCATGGCCTCGACCATGTAGTCCTCGCGAATAATATGCTCGACTCTGATCTTGGCTCTCTCGACCTTGCCACCAGCTATATAATCAGCGATTTCTTTCCTGGCTTTCTGAGTCAGCTCGGTTTTCTTCTTCTCCAGCAGCTTTAACCTGTTTATCGCCAACCGCAAGTTGGTTTTCAGCTTCGTGTAATTAGGACCACTCGAGAACATTTTGCGAGATGTTTATATAAACAAGTTATTTATTATTTGTAACAAAATCTGTCAACTGATATTAACAATGGCACTTGTCGGCTATTTAATGGAGATTTGTCACTCGACACTATATAAAATTCACGTAATTAAAGTTAATTATGTGGATCACAGAAGCTATTTTACCGTGATATTTTTACTTACTCTTTATCTATAATATTTAACGGTTTAGTCATACTTTATTATGACATGACGACATATTGTATATATATATATATATACACAGAAGATTTCTAGGTTATCGAAGGCAGAAAATGGCGGAAACACAGTCAAGAGGTATACGAGTGCGATGAGTGCGCATTTTCTTTTCATTTGTAAGTTATAAAGATTTTTAACTTGTCGGAGTCAAAAATTTAAATAATTTTTATTGTTTTTTTATAGAAATAAAAATAAGGAGACAAGCTGACAATGTTTAGAATTTTTCTTAACGGAAAAATTCTTACAAAGAAATAAAAGAAAAATTTTACATGATGAAGACTTCGAAAACTGTGAGTGCAATTTTTTATTAAAGTTAATTTAACAGATATTTAATCATTTAAAGAATTTTTTTAACAATTAAATTATGACAAAAAAAATTAACACGTACAAATTTTAAAAATTAAAAAATAGAATTTTTTAAGAATAATTTTTTGAAAAAAATTTGTTTGTTAGAGACAATTAAACAACTTGGAAGTGACAGCTAAATTTACGATGATTATTTAGGCTACATACGAAAATGCTCTATTTCTAGATTCTGGTTAAGAAATGACTTTGTATCTTGTGAACTATTGACATTTTTAAAGATATAAGCTCATCCCGATGATACGCTCATCAAGACCTTTCATTTGAGTACCCACATCAATTTTTCATATATTTTATATATTTATATATATATATATATATGAAAAATATATCAAAATGGCATGTGGGTACTCAAATGAAAGCTCTTGATAAGTGCAACATCATGATGAGCTTATATCTTTAAAAATGTCAATAGTAAATAAAGTACAGGAAATTTTAACAAATATCTTGTCAATTATTGACATTTTTAAAGATTTAAGCTCACTCCGACATTATACTCATCAAGACCTTTCATTTGAGTACTCACATCAATTTTTCATATATTTTATATTATTATATATATGTATATATGAAAAATATATGAAAATGCATGTGGGTACTCAACTGAAAGCTCTTGATGAGTGTAACATCAGGATGAGCTTATATCTGTAAAAATGTCAATAATTAAGAAGTGACTTTGTATCTCGTGAACTATTTACATTTTTAAAAATATAAGCTCACCCTGACGTTACACCCTTCAAAACCTTTCACTTGAGTGCCCACATCAATTTTTCATATATTTATATATATTATATATTTTATATATTGATATATATGTATATATGAAAAATATATGAAAATGCATGTGGGTACTCAACTGAAAGCTCTTGATGAGTGTAACATCGGGATGAGCTTATATCTTTAAAAAATGTCAATACTTAAGAAAGTACAGTGCAATTTAACAAAAGTCATTAATTTAATAAAGCCAAATTTTATTTATTTATAGTTTACAAGTCACAACAGTCACATAGTGACTGCACGGTTGCTAGTTTATATTATATTATTATTATTATTATAATTATTGAGCATCAAACATGCAATTAATAAAACTCAAAAATATATGGCTAAAATAAAAAATTAATAAACAAAAAATTGAGCATAGGCGAAAATTTAATAAAAGTTTAAATTGCTCAAGAGGGTAATGATGCGTATTCGAGGACTCAGTTCACTTGTGTTTAACATTTTATCTATCTCGTTGAAGGTTATCAATGACACTTGCTGACTCAGTAACGGCGTAGTGCGGCATCTTCAAAGTTTAATATCCGAACAACCGCGTCACTCAGTTCACCCGACTCAAGTATATTATATCATACTTGGTACTCGGTAGCCACTTACCCCTATCCGCCTTATACTTTTACTAAATTCTCTTTTCTTCACCACCAAAAAGGGTACAAAAATAAGTAAATAATTTTTTTTTTCGTGTAAAATTAAATTAATTGCTTTGACTGCACAGGAAAAGTCAAATTTAAATGCGTAGTGCGTACATGGATGGACGGATTAAATTTATTTAACCTCCCCTTCCTATTCAATAGGAACAACTTAGTATTAAGGTAATTTTAATTATGGGTTAGTTCAGAGTATGCCGATTTGCGGGACTGCCGTGGGGTGTGCAAGTGGTTAGTGATGAACCAGTAGAGAGTGAGGGTGTAACAATGTATTATATGCCATCCCGCACAACCTGACAACCCCTACTGTAAAACCGCAAACCCCTTTCCTATTCATCCCCAACAATTTGTTAACTACTATATCAAATTCACTTCTATTGGTATTACTTCATGCTTTTATCATTTCTCTATATATGTATTTATATCACTATGTATGTCGGGGAAAATGGACATGACAAAAATGATCAAAAAACTCTATTGATTTTTTTATTAAAAAAAAAGAGAAATTTTTTCTTGTTAAATTTTTTAATTTATAATAAAATATTTAAAAAATTTTTTTTGAACCTTTTAAAAATATTAATGGATAAAAAAGACATTTTTATATAATTAAAATTTTTTAAAAATAAAAATGAAGCTTAAAGATGAAAAATAATAACAAAATTTTTCTTATTAAATTTTTTAATTAATAATTAAACATTAAAAAAATTTTTTTTAAAGCTTTTAAAAATATTAATGAACAAAAAAAAAAATTTTTATATGATTAAAATTTTTTAAAAATAAAAATAAAGCTTAAAGATGAAAAAAAATAATAAAATTTTTTAATTAATAATTAAACATTAAAACATTTTTTTTTGAACCTTTGAAAAATATTTGTGAACAAAAAAAAAGATTTTTAAATAATTAAAATCAAGATCCGTATTTTTTAAAGCAAGAGAATTAATTTTGTTGGAATAAGTCGAATTTCTTGTGTCAAAAAAATTTTTTTTTTGCTCTAGAAAATAATTAGAAAGAAAAGTATTTTCTTGGCTCAAGTGAACTTTTTTTTCCTGTATGACAAGGTACTGAAAAAAAAAAAAGTTGAAATTAAATTTTCCAAGCGATAACAAAACGATTGAATAATAAATCTTTAAAAAAATGTAAAAACAAAGAAGATAAATAAATAAATAAAAATAGGAGACATATTTGAGGGATGATTAGGAAGATTGATAGGCATAAAAAGCAAAAAGATCTTACTTATCGTAAGTATGTGACGTTATTGTATATCCCTCGTGGCAATTTGTTCACCCCTCATATATGTCCGTTGATAGACTCAAGAAGCAGTGGCGAGGAACCTCGGCGAGGGGGCTCTGGCTCGGAACGTAGCGAATTGTTTAAAAGTATCCACCAACTCCTTCTTTTTTCTCTTAATATTTTTTACACCGCACGCTTTGGCAAGTGGGAAAAAAGTAAAGTTATAGATATAATATAAAGAGGTTTTTTCCGGGGATTTGTATTATATCATACCGGGAATATGCCCTGTGTATCATAGGGGTCGAAACAGGTTCTAGACTTCAGACACCCGGATCTTACTATAGATATGTATTTGTCGGTGGTAAGAGACGATTGACTCAGAAGTGAGGGGTTAGATCGTCTGATCGCAACTCTCGAGAGTCTTTGCCACATTTCGCGGCACATTGAGTCTACATGGATTTTAAAATACCCCTAGTTCCTTTACTTAGTTGGTTAAATCTCTGATCCCATCAATCTGCAGTGTCTTAAATTATTTTATTGCTTAAATCTCATCATTTCATTTTTTAGACCGCGTTATATTTTTTATCTAATATTTTTTGATTGAATTTTTTCGTTTTCTACTCATATGTGACGCATGATCATACATGACAATATACGAAGGAATCTAAGTTATTTTTCTTCCTAATTATTTTCTTGAGAAAAAAAATTCTTTTTTGATAAAAAATTTCACTTATTCCAACAAAATTAATTCTCTTGCTTTAAGAAATACGTATCTTGATCCAAGAAAATTTAAGTCAAGAAAATTTTGTTTTGAAAAAATTCAGCCTCTTGCTCCAAAAAATTTAGTTCTTGATAGAAGTTAATTTTCTTGTCTTGAGAAAATTTCTCTCTTGCTCCAAAAAATTAAATATAAAGATAGAAGTAAATTTTCATTAATATTTTTATTTATTAACATGTCAAATGAGATCAAATAATATTTCATCATTTTTTTCATTAAATATGTATAATTGCACGGTAAAATAATATAAAATAGGTATCAAATTTTCTCAAGGTGAGAAAATTTTTTTCTCAGCTGAAGAAGGTGGCGCTGCTTCCCTAAAGTATCTAAAAATCTTGATCAAATATAAAAATTTATTGCATCAAGTATTTATGATAATTAAGAAAAAATGACTTCCACCAAGAATAGAATTAAAAAAAAAATTTTTACTAAACCCGAAAATTTTCTTGAGCCAAGAATTTAGTTTTTTTGTTTAGTTAAATTAAAGTTTTGTCATTAAAATAAACAGTTCAAATGTCACATATATGATCATGATCATATGTGACAATATATATGTGTAATAAAATACTTAAATAATTCAATTGTTATAAATTAAGCAGCAAAATGTTTTACAATTACAAAATTTTTCTTGGTTTGAGTAAATTTTACTTTTTCCAATAATTTTTTTCTCAATTAGACATTAAAATTCTTCAAATCAATTTTACTTCACCGATCAAAAAATTAAGGTTTTCTAAGAATATCATTTAAAAGAATAAGCGAATTTCTTCAAAGTTTCCTTTTAATTTAGACCCTCGAAACTTTCAATTAAATCCTTTTATCAATGCCTATAAGTTTAATATTTCCTTCGCTGCCGAGGATATGGTTAAATTTCACTTTTATTTTTCGTTTAACTGACCAGAGATATCAGACTATTTTTATTTCTCCGAGAAACAGGATCAATCTGTAGGTCCATCGGCGATCGTTTTGGA